ATGGCTAAAACAAAAAAAAAGCCAACCGAGTGTTTATTAAGATATGGAGAAACATGTTCATTGCTAATGGGAACAGAAAGGGAGACAGCCACTTTGGGAAACTGACACTTTTGCAAAAGCTAAACATACATTTATCAATTGACTTAGCAGCTCAACTCCTAGGTATCTATCCAAAAGCAAAGAAAATGTATGTCCACAAAAAAACTTGTATACAAATATTTATTGCAGTATTATTCATAATAGCCCCAAATTGGAAAGAGTGTCCTTCAACTGGTATCAATTTACAACTGGTAAATTGATAGACAAAATGTTGTGTGTCTATAGAGGGGAATATTATTCACAACAAAGGCATAATACTAAATGGAAAGAGACAGACACAAAAAACTACATATTATATGACTCCATTTATATGAAAATTTTAGAAAAAGCAAAATTGTAGAGACAGATCAGTGGTTGCCTCGGGCTGGGGTGGGAACTGAGATGGATTGCAAACAGGCACAAGGGGACTTTTTGTGGTCATGAAAGTACTCTAAAACTGAATTGTGGTGATGGCTATATAATCATATAAACTCACTAAAATTCAATGAGGTTACATTTATTGGTAAATGGGTGGATTTTATGGTATCTAAATTAAAGCTCAATAAAGATGTTTTAAACAAAACAGAAAGCTATTGTGACTTCATAGCACCCTTTCTGGCTCACCTTTGAAATATGTGGTGACTGTATAACTCTGGTAAAATAGTCCTTGAACTTTCCTTTCCACATTCTCTAGAGACCTCACAGAAGATCAAGCAGCTCTAATCCTGCTAGAGGGATTTTCTTTCTCTTGGAGAAGGTTAGAAGGAGAGAATTGATGAACAGGAGCATGTGTAGAAGAGCATGATCAGGATGAGGAAGACCTTAAAAATCATATCTTATGGTTGCCTGGGTGGCTCAGTCCATTAACTGTCTGCCTTGGGCTCAGATCATTATCTCCAGGTCCTAGGATCTGGATCAAGCCCTACATCAGGCTCCCTGCTCAGTGGGGAGTCTGATTTCTCTCTCTCTCTCTCTCTCTCTCTCTCTCTCTCTCTCTCCACCTCTGCTCCTCCTCCCTGCTCATTCTCTTTCTCTCTCTCTCTCTCAAATAAATAAATAAAATCTTTTAAAAAATTATATCTTAGTCATTCATCATTCTTCTGTCAAACACCTTTTGGATTTTCCTGTTCAGATAGAGTACTGTGTCTATAAAATGGTGAACAATATGAACGAGGTCCTTGCCCTCCCAGAACTTATATTCTAGTAGTGTGAAATAGAGGATGGATGGATAGATAGGCAGAAGGACAAAGGAAAGTAAAAGGAAAGTGCACCTAAGTACTCAGAAGAGAGTTAAAGCTTGATATTAGAAAATGACTGAACCACAAGAGGGAGCCAGTCTTGCAAAGAGCAGAAGGAGGAGCATCTTAGGCACCATTTTTTTTCCCCTGTACTTTGTCCCTTGAGGCTGTCTGTCTATTCCTTTGCTCAGCTTAAAATTCAGAGTTGGTAAATATAATCACTCCCTCAACTTCCTTAATCACATCAGTCTCTCACACTGGTTGGCAAAATCACAACACTATTCTAGATCCAACTGTCCAGCTAGACTGGTCTTACCTTAAATTTGTCACCAGGAGCTTAAGAAGGACCTTGCTGTTGCCCAACTAACATCCCACGTCTCCCTCATCCACTCACTTCCCTACATTCTAAGTTACTATATTCGCTTTCTTCTCAAGGACTGTTGTTTTTCCTCTCTTCTCCCCCATTCTCCCTCCCAGTTGATGAGTGTCTTTCTTTCCTCACTGAGAAAACTGAACAATCAGAGACAACATCCACTGATTCCTACCACATCCCCATATCTATATGGGTGTATCCCCTTAGACCCTGCCTTACCTCCTATCAGTCAGGATGCACACTTAGGGCCCCTGTATAAAAACTTCCATTGGTGCATGAAGTTCCACCTTCTTGTAGGAACACGGAGCCAGCAAACCCTTGCTCTCTATTCTACACCATGAATTTATCCTCTAATGGATCATCACCATTGGTATATAAACAAATCATTTCAAACACGTTAAAGACAGACAAACAAAAATCTCCCCTTGACTGTATTTCCCCCATTTGGTTACCACCTTATTTCTCTGTAATCTTTTGTAGCCAAATAGTTGTCTGTACAGTATTTGCTGCCTCTAATTCCTCTTCTGTTCTCTCTTAAATTCTCTCCAGTCCAGCTTTTGTGCCACCTGGTCTTTTCAAGGCCAACAAAACAAACATAACTAAAACCTTACCATAAAGAAAAATGAATGAAACAGCACTGAGTGAAAGAAGAAGGTAGAGAGTGGAAGGAAAAGATCCTGAATGATAGCAGCTGGGTTGACCACCTGTATCATAGGAATTCTTTAGATAATTAGTCTTCTTTCCACTTTATTTGAACCGTACCTCCTTTCCATATGTTTCCCTGATTGTCTTCAGAATCTACTGTTACCCAGCTTCTTAAAGCAGTCTGAATATCAGATTAATCTGCTCACTATTCAGGGAGAAGAGAGTAAAACAAAATCATAGCAGTGAATGAAGAGAGTCTTCATTTATGTTTTGTATCTGAAATTAATGTGAAACCTCAGAAACCTAAAGTCTCTGTGATCCAACAAGGAATAATTTTAAAAGTCTGAGAAAGGTGGGGCATCTGAGTGGCTCAGTCAGTTATGTGTCCAACTCTTGGTTTGGGCTCAGGTCATGATCTCGTGGTTCTGGTCTTGAGTCCCCCGATCAGCTCCCTGCTCAGTGTGGAGTCTGCTTCAGATTTTCGTTCCGTCTCCCCTCTCCCCCTCACTCTAAAATAAATAAATTGCCATGTGTGATGATTTTACAGCTCTTCGTCTCTGTAAATGGCCTCACCAGGAATTATATATACTAACCTCAAGCAGCTTAGAAAGTCTGGCTGTAGTATACTGCTTGCTGATGTTACCAGCAGGAACAACTATAACTCACTTCAGTGAAGTGGCCTCAACTCCTTTTGTGGACAAGGTGGATCCTACTGGAGATAGCACCAAATGACTTTTGACAACTGCCCTGGTCATCCAGAAAGAGAGAGAGAGAGAGAGAGAGAAAATAATAGAAATGACAACTGCCCTGGACAGTTGGTTAATAGAGAAATCTCATTAGATAGTGCAGATCAGTCTTTAGTCCAATGCAAGTCACAATCCATTATCGGATTATGAAATTAACTTGGTGGGTTGACAAATTTTTAAAAGGTGAAGTAGAATAGAAAATATCAGAGTTAAAAAAGAAAGAAAGAAAGAAAGAAAGAAAGAAAGAAAGAAAGAAAGAAAGAAAATATCAGAGTTCATTACCCATACTCAGAATGTGACATAGTTTGTGAGATTCTGGTTGAGTTCAGAAGAGGTATGTCCTGGCTATAAAATTAAAATTTTAAAAATTAAAGCCACTGACCTAAATCCATTCATAATAAAATAGCCAGTGTGATTGAATGCACTAATCAAAATTAGAGGACATTTGGCAAATATCCCCATCATTTTCAGCATCATATATCACTAGGCATGAGCAGAAACAAGGGAAATCCAGAGCACCTCAAAGAGGGGCTTTCATCCACACGACCAGGTGAAGAGCTTGAAAACTAAATTGCCATCATAGAGGCTTTATACTTTACAAACCACACTCACAAACTTCATCTCGTTTGAGTATCTTGTCTTCCTTTTGTAGTACGTGAGACGGGAAGGTTGCAGCATCTTGAGGCAGGTTTCAATGATCCATCCAGTGTAGATCTGGAGCCCAGACAGCAGCTGGGAGAAAGGATCTAGCCCCACAAGCCTCAGGGAGAAAGTTGGCAAGGATAAAGAACTGTGTGTGGGTTCCGGCCAAATTAACTAGGGTTCAGGGCAGAACTCCAGTTCCAGGAGGGAGGAAGGGAAAGATGAACAAGCACTGGGGCAGAAGCCCAGATATTAAACAAAGCACATTGATGTCCAGGCCCACCTCCAGCACAATGGATTCCGTGCTAACACCTGCAGGGGTCCAGAAGCCCACAACTGGCTTTTGAAGAGGAAACAGAAATATGCCATGTGGATAAAGGACAGAATGGAGAGGTTATCAAGCACCTACATGAAGAGACTAGTGCGGAATGGCAAGTTAATCATTCAGACTAGCATGAGTAGTGTTGCCAAATAAAATACAGGATGCTTATTTAAATTTGGATTTCAGATAAATAATGAAAGCATTTCAGTACAAGTATGTCCCATGCGATACGGGGACACATTTACACCAAAAAGGTGTTGTTTATCTGAAATGTAAACTTAACTGAGCATCCTGTATTTTTATTTATTAAATCTGGCAACCCTCACTTGTGGGTGTTACAAAGAAAGATGAGGTGGGAAGGTTTGGTAGAGCAAGATCACAAAGATCACCAAAGCCAAGATCACCACACTTGGTAGTTAAGGAGGAGCCTCGAAAGTCTTTAAGCAGGAGCACAATTTAATCAGGTTTGCATTTTAGAGTCAACCTTGGGAGAATGAAACAGAGTTCAGAAAGTCAGGGACTGAGAGACCAGAAAGCTATTTAAATAGCTTAGACTCCGGGAGAATTGACTCTAACTTGGTTCACTTCATACTTCTGCCTAATGCTAGTGAGATTCCAAGGTTCAGTGGAACTGTAGAGACCATTTTTTTTCTTTTTTAAGAGTTGTTCTTTGTTTTGAGAAACAAAGAATGTTCTTGGGGTGGGGGATTACATTTTTTTGCCTTGCCCAAACCTCGTGTCAATCAAACACTTCTTGAGGGCCATGTAAAGATAACGTGTATATATCGATCCCTTGCTAGTAAGCTCAGTGTCTTTTTCACCACTGCATCCCCAATAGGTAATCAATAGACATTTGTTGAATGAGTTCCGTAAGGGCAAAGTCTATATTTTCATTATCTTTGTTTCGTTAGCACCTGACCCAGGGCTGGGAATAAGTTTCTCAGAAAATAGTTCTTGATTAAAGTGGTCTAATTAATTAACAACCAGAAGTGCTTCCTATTAACTACACTTCTCCAACATTATTTCAAAGGTACAATCTGGCATAGTTTTCACTTGAATGCAAAAGAAGCCTGCCTCTTATACTGGACCAGAAAACTGTTTTCAAAAGCTGCAGAATCATACAAATTGGATGGAGTTTTAAAGGTAATCTTCCTTGTGTATGTGAAAATCTGATGGTTTGGGAGTGTGTGTGTGTGTGTGTGTGTGTGTGTGTGTGGCATTTTCCTAACTGCTTCCATAAGCTTTGTCTTTGCTTGGGTATTAGTGAAGCTAGATCTTTAGCAAATGCTTCTCAATTAGATCACCATAAAGTGGTATGAATCAAGTGTTTGTCTTCCATCTACCAGTATCAGTACAGTTACTTCTGTATGTACCTTTCCAAGGCTGAAGTGTGAACTTCTTTTTTTTTTTATTTTTTTTATTTATTTCTGATAGTCACACAGAGAGAGAGAGAGGCAGAGACACAGGCAGAGGGAGAAGCAGGCTCCATGCACCGGGAGCCCGATGTGGGATTCGATCCCGGGTCTCCAGGATCGCGCCCTGGGCCAAAGGCAGGCGCCAAACCGCTGCGCCACCCAGGGATCCCTGAAGTGTGAACTTCTTGAAGACAGGACTTATTTATCTTCATAGTCACAGAACTTTCACTAATACTAGGTTTGTTGAATTGTCAAGAGCAGGAAGCCAAAAGGGAAAGAATAATTCTAGAAAGCACATGGGATAAATAAAAATATAATTTAAAAAAGGATTTTATTTATTTATTGAGAGAGAGAGAGAGAGAGAGAGAGAGAGAGAGGCAGGCAGAGATACAGGCAGAGGGAGAAGCAGGCTCCATGCAGGGAGCCCGACCTGGGACTCGATCCCAGGTCTCCGGGATCACGCCCTGGACTGAAGGCAGTGCTAAACCGCTGAGCCACCCAGGCTGCCCTAAAAATATAATTAAAAATTTATTACAGCCCCCCATTATTGAAGATTATATTCTAAGCATCATACTAGGGTGGGGCTTTATATATGTTATTAAGTTCTGATGAGATTTCAACCCTAAAAGCTTCTCTTTGAGGTAGGTGACATTATGTTCATTTTCTATTTCTTTACACAGGATCAGAACTGATGAGAAACTTGCCCAGCTAATAGATTGGCAGAGCTCAGATCAGAGACTTATTCCAAAGTCTGGGCTCTCATACACCTAGAATTGTCATTTATTAAAGTGTGTTTTGGAGAGATGAAGAATATTGTTAGAATGCCTATAAGAGCTCTACTTTAATCAGCAACCATGTAGTACACTGGAGGACTAAAGTTTGATCTTCTTTGTGATGATGTGTGAGTGTACATGTGTGGAAGAAATATGGAGGTATTTTTTATTTATGCTCCCTTTTTATTTTCTCTGTTCAGCTTTGTACTTAAGGGAGCACGTGACTTTAAATATAATTAGGTGCCATCTCCACCTTCCTAGAAGGTGATATTGCTATATTTAAAATTGTTATCACATTGTTATTATCCAGGATGAAACATACGGACTTTAGATGTTACCATCAGTAATACCAACTTCATTTGCCCCATCCAAAGGAATACTTGTAGTTCATATTCAGACATGTGATGGAACCTCATTGATCCAGATGTGTAGGAACTCCTCTGTGGGACAATCCAGACCCTCCTCTGAGCTGTCAATCTGATTGCATACTTCAGTTATTCTCAGGCCTATTAAGTTGCAAATGTGCACTCTTTGTCCAGATGCTCAGATCTTTTCAGCAACCCTCTGCATACTGCTCAACTGCCAGCCTCCTCACTGTGTTCCAGGAAGAATGAGAGTCTCAATAAGAATGCTGCCTCTGGTCATTTGACTCCAGGCTGAGGCAGGTTAAATCACAGTTTAAACTTTACCAACCTTTTGGAGCCTGAGAAAGCAAAAGTCAAAAGGCAAGCGATGGCATAACTAATGGTATGAATTAGAAGGAATGTGAAGAAGAGCACCAAACATGGTAAAAAGAGGGAAGAAGGCGTTTGGTTAAAAAAAAAAGAAAAGAAAAGAAAAGAAAAGAAAAGAAAAGAAAAGAAAAGAAAAGAAAAGAAAAGAAACAACAACAACCGAATAAACAAATCATGTTTTGCTTGGCTCTGTAAATTAGAAGCCTGCCAAAAAGTGGTCTGCAAAGGTGTTAAGAATCAAAAAGCATCTTCAGTGTTCTGCCTTCATCAGAAATATGGAAGGAATTTCCTAGAGATGGTTAGAAAGGAATTACTGGGAACCTCATCAGGCCTCGATTTGCTTATTCATTGCCAGGCAGGGTGTTAACTATGGGAGATAGAAAATGAATATGCCATGGCCCTGCCAGCCAACCTTACCCTCCAGTTCAGGGAGATACACGAACTGTTATGCATACTTACGCGTGAAAGGCACCATGAAATAAACATAAAAAGGGTACAGTAGGCGGACAAAGGGGCAGTGATCTACTCTGGGATTCTAATAAAAACAATTCGTTACAATCATGTAGGGTTGTTCAGGGAGATGATCAACTCTCCCAGGGAAGCGCGAGGCGGAATCTGAATTAACAGATATAGTTGAGTCAAAACACAAGAAAGGGGGGTTTTGACGAAGCAATCAATTCACACCAGTCCCAAGAAGGTAATGTCTGGTTAAGTGTTCTCCATCTTTAATTTCTAGGATATCAATTTTACAAAGCAGGGTCGCAGCCAGGTTAGTTACCAAGCACCTCCCCTCCTCCGAGCCCATCCCCCACCCCATCTCCACCCCTCCAGCGGAGCTATCAGGTGAGCCACGCTCCATCCAAGCTCCGCCCTAATTAAATGTGTGACCTGGAGCAACTTGCATCACTACTCGCGGCCTCGTTTCCGCGCCCGTAAAGCGGAGGAACCCTAGTCAATCCCGAAGCCCGTTTCTGCAGTGAATTGTGAAATTGAGACAAGAAACCAGAAAGGAAACTCAAGAGAAACAAAAGTGAAAGTGCCCAAAGGAGATACAGTAGTAAACAAAAGTCCACAATTTCTAGCTCTCCTTGGAAAAGGTGGCAAGAGTGCCCATATACTTTTCTTTTTTTTTTTTTCTCTTTCCAGCAACGGCGAACACGAGACCTGGGGAAGAACCAACTGTCTATCACGCCGTCCAAATGTGCATGCGATCACCGGCGCACGAATCCACCTTGCTGCGCGCAGCGGGCTTCTTAAACAATGCTCCCCGGGCCCGAACAAGCGCTTAGGAACTATTTCTTACAAAATAAGCCAAGCGCCGGCGAACGGTCCGTCGCCACATCCCGGTGCCCCCGCGGAGCCCCACGCGAGGGGGTGTCCCGCTTGGGGAAGAGAGAGAAAGGGGGTGTAGAGGAAGGGGAAGGATTCGAACCAATGCAAGAGTCCGCCCGGCGTCGCCACGCGGTTGTCACAAACAACAGCATGGAAACAAACTATGTCAAAGCGCAGAAAATTGGGCGGCCTTTAAACTTTGGCATCTGCTCCGTTTGTGGCGAGACCTCCCGGAACGTAACCCAGAACCGTACACCCGCTCGCGGGCGAGGGGAGGCGGCCAGAAGGAACCGGGCGGACAGCTTTCGCCGAGGGTTTGCAGCGAGTGTGGGACCGGGACGGGCGACGCCACGGCCAGAGGGGAGGGGAGGGGAGGGGAGGGGAGGGGAGGGGGGGCGCTGGGCTCCCCGGACTCCCCGGGCTCCCCGGACCGGAGGATGCTCCCTGTCGGCGGCGGGAGCCTCCCTTCGCGGAGCCGGGGGGGGGGGGGGGGAGGCGCGCCCCCGTGCGCGTGCACACACACACACGCACACATCCTTCCCCTGGAGTTGTGTCTCGTCTCCCTTTTGTTTTTCTCCCTTCCCGGTCATGAGACCCGGAAGTTTTTTTTTTTTTTTTTTTTAACCTGTCTCTCTCCCTTTTCCAACCCTCCCCCCCCCCCCCCGGTCTATCACATGGCAGAGATAGAATAAAAACAGAAAAATGGCGACGGTCACGTTGTGGCGAGCCTTGCTGCGTCATTAGATAATCCTCATGCAAATAGCGGGAAGAACAAAGGAAGGGGGGGCCCAGGACCCCCCCACCCCGGGGACGGGGGGAGCGCAGGTGGGCGTGGGGGGTGGGCCGGGCGCGGGGGCGGGGGCGGGCGGTGCGCGCGCGCGGGGCTCGGTGCCGCCGAGCGTCTGCGCCCGAGTGCGCGCCCGTGCGCCCGGGCTGGTGGCGGCGCGCCGGAGCCGGCCGGGGGCGCGGGAGGCGGCGGGGGCGACGAGAGCCGTTCGGGCAGAAGGGTGGCCGCGGCGCGCGCACGCGCACGCGCACGCGCACACGCACACGCACACGCACACGCACACGCACCGCGGGGCTCGGCCGGCCGGCCGGGCGCTCGCGCGCGGGGGGCGGGCCGAGGGCGGGCCGGGTGGCGGCTGGGGCCGAGGGCGCGCCGCTGCCCGGCGCTGGGCGCCAGCCTCCAGCCGCCTGCGGGGCCCGCGAGCTGTCCGCCGCCGCGGGGTAGGCAGCGGGCGCTGGGGCGGGGGCTCCGGGCGGGCCTGGGGCTCGGCACTCGCGCCCGGACTTGAGCGCGTGTTGCCGGGCTGGGTCTGTGGCTGTGGAGGGGCGTGTGCGTGTGCGTGTGCGTTTCCTGCGGGGTCGGGGTGGGGTGCAGGGGGGAGGCCCTCGCTCCTGGGCATTTCCGCGGTTGCCCGCGGGCCTTCGCTGGGCCGCGGGGAGCGGCGCAGGTTGGACCGGGGCGCGGGCGGCCCCCGGCCCCTCGGAGGGGGAGCGGCGCGGAGGGGCGGGGCGGGGCGGGGCGCGTGTGTAAATGTTGCGCACTCGCTTTTCCCCCCTCCCCCGCCGCCTTCCAGGGTGCTGGCGTGGGTCCCTCGCCGTCCGGCGGCGACTGTAAATAGAGCCTGGATGTTGTTTACATGAAGGATCCGGCGGGAGGAGTCTGCGAGGAGGAGGCGGAGGAGGAGGGAGGGAAGACAGAGGAAGAGCGGAGTCCCCGCGGCGGCCGCGTCCGGGGGACCCGGCGCTACCACGAGGCCGGGACGCTGGAGCCTGGGGTAGGAGGGAGACTGGGCGCGCGGCGGGGAGTGGGGCGGGGGGGCCGGTCCGTGGGGCATTTTTAGCTTGCAACCTGCCACGCACACTCGCTCGGGCTGGAGGGGAGGGGGTGTGCAGGGAGGGCGAGGAAGCCTCGGTTTCTCTGTACGTCCTTTCTCCCATTCCCAGTATTTTCCCGCTTCACTCCGGGCTCACCTGTTTATTTCCATCAACCGGAGCGTGCAGTTTTGTTTTTTTTTTTCAATGTAGGCATGAGAGACTGTTTCTTTTATTAGAAACGTTATTGGGGAGGGGGGTGGGGGTGCGTTGTTGTAATTTCTGCCGGTCTTGTTCGGTTTTCAAGAAGGGGGAAGGGACTTGGCGGAGATCGCCTGCTCCCGGCCGCAGCTGAACCCACGGCTTCTCCCTGCCTTCCCGGGCCAAGGAATCTTTTCCCTCGCTCAGCTACCCTCGCGCCAGCTGCCACCTTCTTGGAGAAGGACCACACCTGTGCTCATTCTCGCTCTGGAGGAGAGGTGAGCTGAAAAAAACCATGAAGTCTTGCGTTCCCCAGACTTCTTAGCGAATCCCCCATCCTAGAATTGACCAGAAAGTGCTGCTTTCACCTGCTGATGGTACTGGGCACATCCATCTTCAGACCCAGGCAAGTTGTGGTCTACAGATGTGCTGGGATTTTCTGTTCCCTCTGGACCTGCACCCCACCAACCCGCAGCTAACTGCTGGGTTGGATGGAGAGAGATGACCTCCTTAGGTCATTCCAGATATTTGTTCCCTACCAGGTTTTCTAATGGAATTGTCTGCTCTCTCCTCACAGCCACCTATTTTTCTTCCCCTAAGAGCTTAGCCCAAAATCCCGTGGAAAGCAGCCTGTCTCTGGCTCTCTTTCCCTGGGCCCCACCCTGGCCCCTCTTGGTTCTCCAGAGCCAAACACGCCTCCCCAGCAGAAGACACACCCAGCCCCAAATCCAACTATTCCAAAAGGGAGGGGAAAACAGTGGAAGAGAAAGGACCCAAAGGTCTCTTTTCTGTCCCAAATATCACCAACAGCATTTTCCTTTTCAAGCCTCCTAGATTTATAATCCCTTGATTCTTCTCTCACCAGCTGTCCCCTTTACCCTTTTCGCCCATAGTCCTCTGATAATAGATCTTTGGGAAGGTGCGAAGACTGGGAGAAGGGTGTTTTCACCTTTCTTCCCTAGAGTGAGGCATTTTTCATCAACTCAGTCTTTTAATTTTTGAGTAAGATATGTAAATATGTTTGCATGCTTATTTGAAACTTGGTTTCTGGATGGCTAAATAATAGCTGGGACTCACAAGAAAGGGAAGGAAAAGAGATGAGAAATGAACATCCCTCCCTCCCCTCCCAGGTTCCTCCATAAGAGCATCCCCAGAGTTGCTGAAGACCCTTCTGTAAAAGTCAACAGCCTTTCTTTCATGACATCACCACCTAAGCCCTTCCAACTTTAGCTTCAGAACAGGAAGAACGCTCAAAATAGAACTATCTTAGGAATCTAGCTCCTTTAAAAGATCAACTTTTAAATCAGCTGCAGGAGGAACACTGAACTTTGACACAGGGAGGGGAAACTGAAGTGTTTGTAATTGGTTCCTTTGGGGGAAAAGTGGAGGATGCTTCCCATGCATATTCAGAAAAGCTTTTCTCAAGATAACTTAGGTACCCAGACCAATGAATGATTAATAGGATGGTTTGGGATTCATTTATTGAATTATTCATATGTTTCAGTATGATGCAACAATAACAAGCATTTTTCAGAATGAATTGAAGAGGGACTCCTGGAATGTGCTCTAAAGAGTCTGCTAGAGATAAAGGGGGTTGTGGAAGGAGGCTGGGAGGGAGCACTTCAGGAAGGTGAAGAATCAGGATTCAGTGACAGCTGCTCTGAGTATGAAGTTCAGAGGCTCATTGTAAACAATGACTGTAACTTTTGTGTGGTAACTATGGTCCTGGACCAAGAAGTAACCATGTCAGGATTTTCCACCTTTACCTTGGAACTGAACTGCGTATCTTTGAATTGCAGTGTTTCCATTCTTTTTTTTTTTTTTTTTTTTAAGGTTTTATTTATTCATGAGAGACAGAGAGGCAGAGGGAGAAGCAGTCTCCTTGCAGGGAGCCTGACGTGGGATTCGATCCCGGGTCTCCAGGATCCCGCCCTGGGCGGAAGGCAGGCGCTAAACCGCTGAGCCACCCCAGGCTGCCATCCATTCTTTTCACAAATGGAAATGTATCTTTCTCTCTGAGCGAAAAGCATTGTTCGGTCTCTGGGAAAGACTGCTTTATAAGTGATCATCACTGAAGTATTGACGATTTAAGGATTAGTAGTGGGACAGAAAATATTTGGCATAATTTGAGCACCTGATGGGTGTTGTAGAAGGACTTGCTGGTTGAAGAGGGTACATTATTTAATCTGGTTCAGGTTTAAAAGAATCTAGGGTACAGGGTTGTCTGTAATTGCATTAATACTGTAGCCACATGTCACTGTCAAGCACCTGAAATCTGGCTATGATAAGGAGCTGAATTTCATATTTTGGTAAATTCTTGAAATTTATACTTGATTCAGTTATTGGAAAACCTAAATATGTTTGGAAACAACTTGGGCATATGCATCTACTCTTTAAACTGTAAAAAATCTGTGAAATCTAAATATAGATTAAGTATTTCTGATGAAAATCTAGAGTTTGAATTGAGAGGTTATAACACTCTAGTTTTCAAAGACTTAGTACAAAGAAAGTAAAGTATCTCAAGTTATTTTTATATTGATTACATGTTTGAATGATACTATTTTAGGTATATTGAGCTAAATGAAATACTATGTTAAGGTTAATTTAACCTGTAATTTAAAAAAAATATGGCTACTAAAATATTTAAAAATACATACATGGCTTGCATTTTACTTTTCTTGGACAGCATTGGCCTATAACATCACTCTTTTTGGTCGATGGATTAATTTCAGAAGAGGTGACTGCGTGAAATCTCTCCTTTGCTGTTTTCCATGTGGAAATTTGGGGACTCCCAAGAATCATTATTTTAGTACATGAGACCTAATAGTGAATGCTTTGCATATTTCTCTATGGGAGGCATGCCCTATGGAAGGTCAATAAAAGTGTGCAGGGAACTATAAAGGCTAGTAGGGGTGTCATGGGAAAATTTAGATACACATCTGACTGTAGCTGCATTTGTAAAAGGCTCTTGGACATACCAAACTATCACGGAACAGTATGTAACACAGTAACAATTGTGACACCTGGTGGCATCTTAGTGATACCACTCATGGTTGTTTTCTCTTACTCCTTCATTTACTTTCTCTCCTCCACCCGCCCCGCCACCCCCATCTCTGTATCATAGCTCCACTGGTGGCAACTGGGCCCACAAGGCTGCTGACCCCTTGCCTTCAAAAAAAAAAAAAAAAAAAAGTATAATGCTGACCTGGATGGAGATAGTGCCATCTTTGGGGTTTCGTTTTGTCTAATGAGATTCGCTAATGGCCCTGGAAGGAACTTAGGGATCATTTAAATACAATACCATCATCTTATAGATGACAGACTGTCATGTACCTTGCTTAAGACTGTCCAGACAGAGGCTGGAATTAAACCTATACTTTGGTTGATAACCTGTTTAGAAACTTCCTAGGAAATGACAAGATTCATCAATTAATCAAATACCTGTTGAGCTTGCACACTGTGGAAAGGACTGTGATTAGTGTTGTGAAGTGACAAAACAGTTTCTGACTTTAGGAACAATACTGCTTATTTGAAGAAGCAATCATTAGCAGTGCCAAATTAAAGTACAGGCATACCTTGTTGTTTTATTTTAAGATTTTATTTGTCCATGAGAGACACAGAGATAGGCAGAGACACAGGCAGAGGGAGAAGCAGGCTTCCTGCAGGGAGCCTGATGTGGGACTCAGTCCCGGGACCCCGGGATCACACCCTGAGCAGAAGGCAGAAGCTCAACTGCTGAGCCACCCAGGCGTTCCCAGGCATAACTTGTTTTATGGTGCTTGACAGATACTGCGGTTTTTGTGTTGTTTGTTTGGATTTTTTTTTTTTTTAACAAATTGAAGGTTTGTGGCAACCTTATGTTGGGCAAATCCATTGGCACTATTTTTTCAGCAGTATTTGTTCACTTCATGTCTGTCACTTTTTACTAATTCTTACAATATTTCAAACTTTTTCATTATATCTGTTACAATGATCTGTTATCAGTGAATATGACTTGTTAAAAGCTCAGATGATAATAAGGATTTTTTTGGGGCAAGTATATACTTGTTTTTTGTTTTTGAGAGAGAGAGGAGGGACAGGGAGGAAGAGAGAGAGAGAGACTCTAAGCTGCCTCCACGCCCAGCAAAGAGCCTGATGTGAGGCTTGATCTCACAACGCTGAGATTATGACCTGAACTTTAAATCAAGAGTCTGACACTTAACCAACTGAGCCACCCAGATGCCTCTGTACATTGTTTCTTTAGACAGGATATCATTGCCCACTTAGTAGGCTGCAGTGTAGCATAAACATAACTTTTGTATGCACTGGGAAAACAAAAAAAATTCTTTTGACTAGTTTTACTGAGATACTTCATCGCAGTCGTCTAGAAATGAACCCACTGTATCTCTGAGGTATGCCTGTATAAGAAATAGTGTTTACTAATGAGTGTATGTGCCACTATGGCATATGTTTATTTTACAGTTGTAGGAATAAAAGCTCTGAGAATGGTGGATTCTGTGAAAAAGACTTTAATGTGTTTCTGGAACAGCTCACATCTCTAGAACTTAAGGTTGGTGAGAATCTTTAGTGTTGCCCCTTTAGCTGTCCATTCAGGGCATCTGAGATTCTGAGACCCAGCATTTTTAAATGGCAGTGCTGCAGTAATGAAGAAATCATAGATTAATTTGGATGTTTAGAGATGGTTAGCTAGGGTTAGATCATATTGACTAGTTATCTTAAAAGGTTTAATACAGAGGTGAAGTCAGAATAAAACTGACTTGTGAGTGGACTATAAAATCCAAAATCTGTGGGTAGAACCTAGAGCTGTGGAATAGACAGTTGGACTACAAGTATATATGCTCAGTGTGTGTGTAAGAGGAAAAGGTTAAAAATAGAATTTATGGGCCGATCCATTTATTCATAAATTTTTAGTCTTCTGTAGATTTTCTGGACTAAAGTCCTCGTTAGCATAAGTGAGAATGCTTGTACTTTCTCCTTCTACCTTATTGTGTCCATGCTTTTTTTGATAGAGCTTTCCCTCAAGATGGATCTGTCAGGGGTATGCAATAGGAGATGACGTGGGGGCCAGTGCTAGGGGTGGGGAAAACTGAGAGCCTCCTTTATAATTACTCCCAGTTAATGCTTCTCTGTGAGAATTGGGGTGGACGATGCACGGGGCAGCGGTCCTTGGCTTCTCCTGGTCTTTTGAGCCACTTTCTTTCTTAAAAGTTCTTGTAACCCCCTCATTCCAGGTTTCCTAATAATCTCTAGCACAAGTTAGTTTTTAAAAACTCTTAATGTAGCAAAGCTTTGCAATAAGATGCAAAGCTATAATTGATATTTGAGCATCTTTTGTCAACAGTACCTTTTTATAACCTCCCAGTTTGGTCAGATATACACATTTTATAATGTCAATGAGTTGGATTACAGTTTTCAAGTTAGGGGAAAAAAATCACACTTTAGTAAAAGATTAGTGGATTTAAATTAAACCTATTTAAGCTATTTTAGTTTGAAGGTATTTTTTAAAATAATATTTTGCATTGCTAGCAGTTTATTTTATGGTGCCTCCAATTATTGACTCAGATATTTAAAGGTTCAAAATCATTGTATTTTCATTTTTAGTCCATAGGGACGTGACAGGTTCTTTGTGTGCATTTGTACTCCACGAGATTTAAAAGCCAAGTTCTTTAGTATATCAGGTTGCCACAAGTACTTGACTTATTGATAATATTTGGTGCATGTATCATGAAGAAGTTGTTCTCAGTTTGTATCACTTTTATCATAGAATAACTTGAAAATCTACTTGATCTCTGGAGGAAAGCATTTTAGGTCACTTTTTTTTTTCTTTTTTTCTTTTTCACAAACTATGTAGTATATACACTTTGATAGTGTAGCCAGGAGTACCTGCAGTCACTTGTTTTAACATTAAACCATTTTTATAAGAAAAATCTTTTGAGAAAGAAATGTATTTTATTCATGGAATAATTACAATTTACTTTTTATCACTTGGTCTCTGGGTTTGGTTGTCTTTTTTTTTTTTAAATCCCAGGTTAGATGGAAAATATGAAGTGAGAGAAAAGTAAGGAAAGATCATTTATTTACTGTGTTGAAAATGTTTAGTTGTGTGGGTGTTGGTCATGGCTAAATTGAATTTCAACTTTACATTTTGTGACAAACATGAAGTTCATGTTTGTATACTTCATATATAGAATTTAATTACATTAATGCTCAGTCTTAGTGAAGAAAGTCTAATAACTACTAGGTAATAACAGTCTAATAACTATTAATTTGTTCCCATACTGTCCACCCTTCAGCGACTAGACTATTCATCTTTTCTAAAACTGGCAGGACCTGTGGCCAGGAAATGTTAGGTAGTGATCTTTTTATCTTCTTTGATGGATCAGCTATCTAAACTTTTATTCTCGAATAATCACAGTATCTTTGTTCGTGTAACAGATGTTTATAATTTGAGTGAAAATGTGCAGCTGTTTCCAGGAACCTTAGGTTATGGACTCCAACTTTTTTTTTTTTTTTTTAATCTTCGTTGCCCTCTCGTGTTTCAACTCTGTATTACATCAGTTGGCTAAGCCCTAGCCTTTGTGACCTCCTTAAGCATTAGATATTTTTGCACTCTAAGAGAATGTTGTTTTAATTTGTGTGAAGGTGGGATATTTCATTAGATATTACTCTTCCAAAGATACAGCCAGTTTCATCGTGCAGAAAGTCACTGTACTCCTGTGTTCTGACTTCTGATCTAAAGAATTGATTCCTCTATTTATCTTATTTGAAGTACTGTGCTAATAT